GGCAAGTGAACAGTAAACCAACATAAGCAGCAGTGAGAACATTTAATATAAACAATCCTCTTCACAAATACACAATAACCTTGTGAGCTGTCTTTCCTTAAAGTTCACATCTGTTCCTGCAGTTTCAGGGTCAAACAGTCCAGAGCATCTTAAATCCACAGGTCTGACCAGACTGCTTGAGCTAAAGGCTAACGCTGCACCCAGAGCTAACAGGCCATCGCCATGGAAACCAGCAGCTTGCTGGCAGAACATAGGCAGTTTTAGCCAGTGTGGTTCGCTCTGGGTGCAGCTGGCTGAACTCATAAATGTCAGCAGCAATACTCGACACTTTGACCGACAAGTTTAGGACAAAATTAGCTTCAGTCTGACCTTCCTCTCTTTTAGTCTCTTCAGTTCCTCTTCCCTTTGATGGTATAGCTTTGCCTCTCTTGTCTTCTCTCCTCGTTCTTTTTCCAGCAAAAGATAAAGGAGAGAAGAAGCTGTTTGGTTTTGCCTTCACTCCTCTGATGAGAGAGGACGGAACCACTCTTTCAGATGAGAGCCATGAACTCTACGTTTACAAGGTCAGACATACTTGTTGTTTCTGTTTGTTGTAACGGGGAGCTGTTAGAATAATAATGGACAAAGTGACATCTGGTGGAGTCTCACAAATATCAGTGAGTCCAAATTACTGCCTGATGTTTTTTGTGTTTCACTAGTGTTGATTGTGTTTCTGTTACCTCACAGATTAAGTAGGGAAACATCAGTCCTCATTCTTTAAAGCAGTGAGGTTATATTTTCTGACTTACTCAGTGAACCTGCTCCTTTTTTTAATCTAAATGTTGATGAAATCTTCATTTACACCCGTCAGACCACAGGACTTAAGGTCACAACCAAATCATGTGTTTGATCGGTTCCTGTTAAAAACGACTCTGCACTGAAATGATGGCGAAGTGAAAAATCATCCACTTCTTTATGGATGATGTTGAATTAAAATGGCCTCCAGTTTAGTTCATAACAGAAGGTTTGAAGATGTGAACCCACCAAAAATGTGCAATTCTGTGTGTTGTTTGTGTTATTTTTTATATTTGTGAAGTGGCAGATGTTGGGACAGAGTTTTAAAATCTTTAATCTCTCCTCCTCCTCTCTCGTGGCCCCTGGCGGCCTCAGTGCGATGAGAACACGACCTTCAGTAACCACGCCCTGTACCTGGGCCTGCCCTGCTGTAAAGAAGACTTCAGCAGCTGTCCCAGCATCCCCTCCAGCCTCGTCTTCCAGCGCAGCACCAAGGAGACGTTCTGGATCTCCACACAGCTGTCCTCCACCAAGCTGACCCAGAACGGTACGTGGCCGACCGCCGTTGTTGCCTCTGCTGTTATAAGTCTAAATGTGCAACTTGGTTATTGAAAGAAATGTTAAGATCTTTACACATGGAGATAAAATAACATGTACAGTAAATGACACAGCCCTAATTCATATAGAGTATTGGTATCCTTTCACCTGTCAAACATGATGCAGTTCTGTAAATATAGTTAAAAACAAACTGTAAATATCTATAAAAATGGAGTTAACACTATGTGACAATGGCCTGGTGCTGATTCTTGTAAAGACCGGGTGCGTTCCAGCCAGAGAAGGAGGTGAGGCGACAGTTTCACTGCTTGGTTTTGTAGTTAAAGCCGAACACGGCTGCTTTCCCCGGGACAGTGTGAGGAGCTGTTGATAGGAGCTCAGGCTGTGAGGCAGAGGAGCTGTTTTAGAGAACAGTGACCTTGAGCCTTCGTCACACGGCGGCTCTGGCTGTGTCCACCTTTTCAGCCCCAGCGATGAGGACGAGTAAACCTGCACAGCAAGTTAAGCTTTGGTCTGTTGCTGTGTCAGATTTATCTTATTGTGTCAACGTGTGTTTATTCATTCATCTGTTTGTGTCTGGATCCTGGAACCTGGCCATGTTCAGCGTCATGTCCTGCCATATCTCAGTTCATGTGTTTGTGGCTGGTGTCTTCCAGTGGACCTCCTGGCCCTGCTTAAATGGAAGGCCCACCCAGACCGCGTCATGGACATCCTCGGCCGGCTGAGACACGTCAGTGGAGAGGAGATAGTCAAGGTGAGGTTTAGTCAGACAAGTCTATGACCAAGCCTGAAACCAGTACAGCCACACTTTGCCTTTGGACCAGCACATTCAAGGTATTACTCTGTCTGCAGTATCAGTATGGCTAGAGAACCCTGGACCAACAGTTCCAGTGAATGGGGAAATCAGGAGCCTGACGCATCAAACCGCAGTCTCAGCAAATGTCATGGTCTTGAAAAGCAAACAGTGTCCTGGCACTTTGGGCTGTTGTTTCTCAGTGTGTCCCAGGCCACCAGGTAGTCGTCTACTGTACCTGCCTGGTCTGGTAACGTAACACACTGATTTCCTGTGCAGCCTGAGGTGTAGGACTTTGGGCTCAGCATTTCATTCAGGTTCAGTTTCTGTCTGGTTGCCGATAAAGATTGTTTCTGCCCATGAAGCTGTTTCTGTGTTGACTGAATGTTCCTTGTTGTATGTGGGTAGTTTCTGATCAGCTGGTTGTATAATTCACCTTTGTCTAACAGTGTTGACAGAGCTGAACTTCATCCGACTGAACATAAGCTTCATTTAAATGTGTCTCTGCTTCAGAGGCCTGTGTGACTGACGTCAGGCTGAAATACAGGAAGACGGTACCAGGCAGCATGTTGTTGTGTTTGATCTTCCAGAATTTAATACACATGAAATATTTAGTTCTTCTTTTTTAAACATGAATGGTTTGGGGTTATTAAAACCATGTTACTTATTTTAAGACTCATGTGAAAAACCTCAGTTTCATTTCTGACAGTGTTTGTCCTAGTAAACAATAAATCAACTGTCTGTATTTGAAATGATGTGCACGTTATTTACTATACTCTTATTCAGCAGTTCAGTCTCTCAGAGGACAGTGGGACAATCTTTAGGTTAGATTCATTGTCGTTAGCTTCTCTATAGTTAAAAACATCCCAAACTACAGACAGTACAAAGCAACAGGGAAGAACAGCACAAGATTTGACTGTCAGAATATAAAATATGGCAGATTAAAATGAACAGAGGCTTCATTGGTGTTATGGCTCGTGTTGGACCAGGCAGTCACGGTGTGTTTTCGTAAAGCTAATGAGGCACAGTGACCTTGTGCTGAGATCAGGTGACCCTTAACCACACTTGCCCACATCTGTCAGCAGCCATGTGAGGAGTGTTCTTCATCAGAGCAACACAACAAAGTGTTACTACAACAGTGAACAGATGTGACCATAACTGGCTGTGTATGTGTGTGACAGTTTCTCCAAGACATCCTGGACACCTTATTCTCCATCTTGGATGACAACACTGACAAGTATGGACCGCTGGTGTTCCAGTCATTGGTGAGTGTGTAAGAGAGCAGCGTACAGGCAGTCTGCTAGAGCCTCAGTATGAAAACCAAACATGACACAGACACACATACACATATCAGGCTGTGTGTGTCCAGCTCTCATTGTTTTAATGTCTCCCTGTGTCTCAGGTGTTCATCATTAACCTGCTCAG